ATTCTCATCGCGCCCCCATAAACAGTGCAAGTTACGATTCTGCACCATTCCTTGTTCACTTTGTCAGTTTTGTCACGGCCGTGCGGCATACGGCGATGTTTAATGTATAACTTTTGGGAAATGCTACACTCACGGGCAACCGACATATATTTTAGGGATGGCTAATACCCTAATTAACCTCCCCCCCCCGATTCTCAGGGGGTGGGGGGTGGGCCCCTTCCTCCTCCTAGTGCCAATCAAATGATGCCACATGTGTCAGCCCGTGAAGTCTGTAAAAAATCCTCCGTGTGTCTAGCATTTCTCATAAATTTTACTCCCTCCGGTCCTCAATAGTTTGCGCCTAACTTTTTTCCTTTTCCCCCTAATTACATTGCGCACTAGGCGTCCGTGCTCAAAGTTCCCATCTATGCCCCTGGCCTTCCTTTCCCATCCCTTAATTAGCGATGGCTTCCCGTATATCCTCGTCTCTTCCCGAGGGACAAGCTCCAATCAAAACGTTGCAGTTATGACTACGTTGGAAACTCTCCCATGCAGAGCACGCCTGTTGCGGGGTAAAACCGTCCAGCCATTCCCATCGATGGCTCTCTTTGGTATTTGAGCTTTGAGTTATGCGCAGACAAAAAAGAATCGGAGGGAGTACATGCACATCCACCTCAAAAAAATTAAATTGCATGCACATACTTGTACCTAACCTTTACGTGCACGATTGCTTTCATCTTCTCAATTACTATGGCACATATATTGACAGAGGTGTTCGAGTTAGTGTGCATGCACGTGGGATCAATCATCTGTTATTTGCGGATGATAGCCTCATTTTCATAGCCGCCAACATTCAAAGTGCTCACAGACTCAATGAGATACTTCGTATATATGCCGATTGTTCAGGGAAAGCTGTCAATTTCGCTAAGAGTTCTATTTATTTCAGTCCAAATGCAGGGGAGTCTTTGAGGTTTCGTTGAAAGGAGCTTTGGGCATCACTGTCGAGGCGTTCTCGGAGCGCTACTTGGGACTCCCCACGGCAATTGGCAGAATAACAAGCAGGACCTTCAACTATATTCTTGAAAGGATCCTGAGTCTTATTCAGGGTTGGTCAGAAAAGAACTTGGCTTGTGCTAGAAGGGAAGTTTTGTTGAAAAAAATTTGTACAAGCAATCCCTACATTTAGTATGAGCTATTTCAAGTTGACCAAAAAGGTTTGCAAGAGTTTACTTCTTGTATGGCCAAGTATTGGTGGGGTAGCTCACTGGGCAAAAGGTCCCTACATTGGATCTCATGGAAGAAATTGGCTACACCTAAACATGTTGGCGGCATGGTTTTCGAGATTTTGAACTTTTCAATCTTTCAATGCTTGGAAAATCTGGACACATTCAGATTTCCTGTAAGCCACTGCTTCCGCTAGCTCTTCGACGACATGGAAGGCTATCATAGCAGGACGCGCTGCACTGGACGTTGGGCTCATTAAGCGTGTGGGGGATGGTTCATCAATATCTATTTGGACTGACAAATGGATCCCAAACACTGCTACCTTTATGCCAATGTGCAGATTGGATAATGACCCATTGGAGAAGGTTTCAGACCTCATTAACCCATACAACGGTGGCTGGAACATTGATCTAGTTCGGAATAATTTCCTCTCTCCTGACACTGATGCTATATTGAATATACCCTTGAGGTCAACATGAGGGAGGACACTCTTGCTTGGGCCTTGGAAACATCGGGAAACTACTCTGTAAAATCATCATATCGCTCTCTAATGACTCGCAACGAGCATCTTGCTCCAGAGGAAGGGACGGTATTGGGAGCTCCATCTTCGCAAACACAGTTGCGGAATGCCCTTTGGAAACTGAAAGTTGTACCCAAAGTTCGGGTATTTTGGTGGTGTGTTTTGCGAGGGATTCTACCGGACTCAGTGACCTTAAAAAATCGCCATATCAAGGAGATTGGAAAATGTGAGGTGTGCCATGCAATGGACGAGGACATGATGCACGCTCTCATAAAATGTAATCATGCTAAGGCATTCTGGACTGCAGCAAAGGCCAGTTTTTCAGTCAAACTACCAGACCTGCATCCGGATACATGGTCAAAAGATATTCTTTTGGACAATTTTTTTGATGATTCAGATAGGTGCAAGATCATTTCTATCGTGCACGCTATATGGAATTCTAGAAATTGCTGGACTCGTGACAAAGAAGGCTATAATCATGCCCACACTTTGCGTGCGATTCAGGAGACTCTTTCCTTACTTGACTTTTCGCTGGACAATCGGAAGGGACTAGTGGGGCAGTGCTGGCGACCTCCGGATCCAGGCTGGATCAAGATCAACGTCGATGGTGCACTAGAACTTCAAGGAAGACAGGGGGTGCTGGCGGGGTTGCCCATTCACATCTTGTTTTCCTAGCTGCATGGAGCAAGCCTCTTGATGGAATTACAGACCCGATGATTGCTGAATTGTTGACACTCCGAGAAGGCACTATCTTTGCACAACTCCGAGGCTACTCACATGTGGTATTGGAAATGGATAATTTCGAGATTGTGGATCTCTGGTCGTCGCGTGACAATTCTCGTTCAATTGCCATGCCTATCATTAGGGAACTAGGGGAGATTGCTCTTAGTTTTTCTTCTTTTTCGGTTATACATGTCAATTGGACTGCTAATGGCTTTGCTCATCTATGCGTGAGACGTGCTCGAGTGTTAGATGTTTCGAAGAGCTAGCTCGATGTGAGCCCAGATTTTCTTGTAAGCAGCCTGCGGGCTGAGTGTAACCGGTTGATTCTTTCGTAATAGAACTCCTATATTCTATGCAAAAAAGAGGTACACGGATCGAATCTCACGGAAAAAAGCAAATGGGCCAAATAGGGTTTGTCGTGTTAACCTACACGCTGAATAGGAAGGAAACACACATAATCTAATCCACGCACGTGTTTTTGGGCCAGCCAATGTGCGGGACGGGACGCCCTGATTATTTTAATTTCTAATTTTGTTGCCTTTTGTTTTTCCTTCTTTAAAATAATCTGGGAATTCAAAAAAGTTGCAATTTTTTATTAAAAAAATAAAATTTTGAAAAAAGATCAGGTGTAATCGTGATTTTTCTAACAAAAATCACAAAGTCAATCAAATGTTCTAGATTAAAACAAATGTTCAGGAACTCATAAAATGTTCGCATATGTTTACAAAAAGTTTGCAAATCCAAGAAATGTTAATGATTTCAAAAAACCACGAATATAAACAAGTTTGTGAATTCCCAAAATGTACAAGACTCCTAAACATGTTCATGATTTTATTATTATTTTTGCAAATTAAAAAATGGTCACAAAATTAATTTTTTCTTTAAAATTGTTTGCAAATTTTGAAATATATTACAAGGTTCTTTTTTTGAAAAAACGAACAAGAATGTTTTTCAAAAAAATTCTTTTTTGAAATTCAAAAAAAATCTTTTTTTGAAATGTTTGTGAATCACAAAAAAATGAACAAGAATGTTTTTCAAAATGTTCGCAAATAAAAAAATATTTATGAATTACGGGTCATTAAGGACTCGTGGTGTATTTAGGTCCATTTACAACCCGATGTGTCTTTTGGCGTCTTAACTTCCCATGGTATCTTTGGGCCATTTGCAGCCTGATGTGTCTGTCGGTTTATTAACAACATGTGGTTTCCTATGGCCCATTTATGGCCTGAGGTGTCTTTCGACCTGCTAATAGCCTGTGATGTCCTTGGTCTCATTTACGGCCCGATGTGTCTCTACCGTCTTGTTAACGACATGTGGTGTCCTTGGGCAATTTATAGCCCGATGTGTCTTTTGGCATGTTAACGACCCTTGCACGACTCGGCCTCGCCATGGCTAGCGCTCCTCACGACGTCCACACCTTTTGCCTGCCATGAAGCGGAAGCGAGTGGCGCAAAGAAAATTTACAGGCACATGATGTTTACTGTTTTATAACACGGAACTATATCTTGTATGATAAAAGAAAGGGACAAGCTATTTTAAGTTGTTTGGGAAAAATGTTTTATTCAAATTCAAAAAGGCCATAGGTATTTACATTATAAATAAAGTAATTCAGCTCGTTGATTCCCACCACTTAACCTTAGTTTATTCTATCTTCCCAGAGTTCTAGTTGTTGTTGTGTTCCTATTTCTCTATCAGCGATCTGCGTGCCACCACTAGCCTAACCGTCGACATGTCATCGCCCCGATCTTCCTTCTAAGCCCTCCTTCTTCGGCACCAACGAACCTTCCCTCTCCCCCGCACCCGCTACTATCAAGCTTTAGAGTTCCCTTCGCCAATGACGCCGCGGCTAGTGGTGTTGTCCCCTTCTGGGGTCATTCCCTACTCGCCTCGCCTTGTCTAAGACACCGCGGCCGGTCGCATCAGCTTCGTCTCCGGCTCGGTGCTCGGGATATTGAGTCACGCAGAAATCATTTTCAGCCAACCGAAATTTAGCATTTGCTTTAAAGAAACCAGCAAGGCAGGAACAATAAAGACTACAACGCAGAACATGAACGTTTGGTCTATGGGTGTATATATACAACCTATACGAAAAAATAGTAATTAAATAAAAATTCTGAAAATATTTTTGAATAAACTTCTTTTATAAAAGCAAAATTTTGGGTCAAGATAGTGTGAACAAAATAGTGTAAATAGTAACCTTTATTCTTGAAAAATTATATACTAGTGCAAAAGAAAGTCAGGTTGATTCTAATAAAAAAAATCTAAACTTTTCACATTTTTTTAATTATTACTTTCCCCCATATCAAGTGTATACACCCAGGAATCAAAAGGCATTTCCCCTACAACGCAATACTACCTCCGTCTCAAAATGTCCATCTCTTTTAAGAAATAAAGAAATGAGAATTTAATAGTACTAGATTCATCTCAAAATATAAGACATTTTTTTAGCTAAACTAGAAAGAATCATCTATCAATGTACATTTGATTCTGGTCATCTAAGATAACAACAGGAAAGACATCAATCCTGCAGCGGTATTTCCATGCCCCAAATTTGTCACCTCCCTGAGATGGAACAGCTCATGGAGCAGAAGCTACTGTGCTGCCCGGCGTCTCCCGTGAACAGCAACCCGACGTCCGGCAGCTCCATCTCCTGCCGATTGCCACCCGGAGGCCAAACAAACGCAGGCTTGTTCAACGGGGGCTCCGGCGCGGGCGCTCCGTCGATCAGCACCTGCACGGCCGCCCTCATGGACGGCCTCTCCCTCGGGTTCGGGTGGCAGCACGCCAGCGCCAGTCTCACCGCGCAGTCCACCTGCGCCTGCTCGAACTCGCCGCCGAGCAACGGGGCGGCGGCGTGCAGCGCCTTCCCCTCGCCGTACAGCCTCCACATCCAGTCCACGATGTGCATCGGCGTGGCGTGTCGCCCTCGCCCGCCTCTCCAGTACTCCTCCTCGCCACCGCCACGGTGGTCGCTGTCGTGGACGTACTGGTACTGCACGGCGTTGCTGGGGCTCCTCCCGCTGACCACCTCCATGACGAAGACCCCGAACGCGTACACGTCGGTGTCGAGGCTGGCGCGGCCGGTGAAGAAGCTCTCGTACGCCATGTAGCCGCGGGTGCCGGCCACCACCTGCGTGGAGTGGTGCGTGGCGCCGTCGTGCTGGATGACGCGTGCGAGGCCGAAGTCCCCCAGCCGCGCGTTGTACTCCTCGTCCAGCATCACGTTGCTGGCCTTGACGTCCCGGTGCAGGATCCGCCTGCTGCTCCCGTGGTGCAGGTAGTCCAGCGCCGATGCCACGCCGCGGATGATCTTGTACCGCCGCTCCCATGTGAGCTCCGGGGTGTCCGTGGACGCCGACATCGACGACGTCGACGACGCGGTCCTCTCTCTGGCGTAGAGGAGCTTGTCGAGGCTGCCCATGGGGAAGTACTCGTAGACGAGGAGCAGCTCGCTCTTCTTGTGGCACCAGCCGATGAGCTTCACGAGGTTCCGGTGCGACAGCTTGCTGATGGTGTTCACCTCCGCCACGAACTCCTTCTCGCCGCGGTTGGAGTTGACGTTCGTGGACACCCGCTTCACGGCCACCTCCATGCTCATCCTCCTCAGATACCCGAGGTAAACGGTGCCGGAGCCGCCTCGGCCGAGCTTACGGCCGTCGCTGAAGTCGCCGGTGGCGTTCCTGAGCTCCCTGAGCTTAAACCTGACGGGGCCATGGGCGTCGATCATCTTCTCGAGGTTGCGGTACGCCAGCCTCGTCTGCCGCGTCAGCCTTCTCCACACGAGCAACGCCATGAGCAGCACGCCGACGGTGAGCGGGACCAGCACGGCGAGAAATACCTTCTGGCGCCTCAACCGATACCCACCGTCACCTCCGGCGCCCGCGTCGTCGACCGTGGTGAAGTTCCAGGACTTGACCTGGTTCAGCTGTGCGAACTCGCCGGTGGAAGCCGCGAAACCCACGGAGATGTTGTCCAGGAGATACCGCGACAGGTCGGTGTACCAGGCGTAGGTGAAGGCGAGCCCCCCTTGCACCACGAGGACGCTCATCATTTTGCCGTCGTACTCGAACGTGACATCGACGTCGGCCCCCCTGGAGAGGACGATGGAGAAGTTGCTGAGCGGCATCTGCCCGAGGGACCGCACGCTGTTGAGGTCGAGTCCGACGTGGTTACCGTCCAAGTCGGCGTCGAAGCTCCTCCGCGTGTCGAACTCGAGCGCGACGATCCGGTTCGCCGGCGCGGCGTCGGTATGGTTGTTGGTTAGGCCGAGCCACCGCCCGCTGCTGTCGCTGGGCAGGGCCGGGTTGTTGGTGAGGATGAAGGCCATGCCTTCCCCGGTGCCGTTCCTGGGGACGATGTTGAGCACGAACTCCGTCTTGAACGAGGTGAGCGCCGTGCGGTCGCTGTTTTTCCAGAGCTTGAGGGTGTCTCTGGCGTACATGACCCTCCCCGACCGGTGGGTCATGTCGCCGGCGTCGGGCGTGATCTGCAGGGAGCGGTTGGAGACGGTGGCGCCCGGGGTGAAGCTGAAGTCGGCCTCGCTGGCCGCGTCGAAGCTCTGGTACGCGAACCGCAAGGCGCTGCAGGTGCTGCCGCCGCCGCCGCACAGGATGAAGAGGAGGATGGCCGCAAAGGCTAGCTGCAGGGTCATGCTGCGATCGGCCATGGCAAGTCGTCTCTGCAACATGGGATGGGATGGAAGACGAGGTGTGGTGGTGGCATATGTTGGGGTTGAGGAATTGCTTGCAGGGGAAATGTGGTAGCGTTGTCAGCCATGGCTGTCCATGAGGGAGGGAGGATGTATGCCGTACACAAGGACAGTGACAATGCTGCCCAGCCCAACGGTGTGAACCAGAGAAGTCCGGGGATTCGACGACGGGCGCCAAATGAGACTTTGACTTGCGATGATGGAGCGGAGCGGAGCTGCACGCATGCTCGATTATGGAGCATCATCTTGTTAAGCAAGCAAGTACAGTGGAAGCTTGACGGAAATTTAAGAGTAGTAGGCGTCATCTTGTTAAGCAAGTAGTAGAAGAAGAAGAAGAAGAACCTTGACGGAAATTAACAACGTCGACGTTCCAAGTTTCGACAGAAAAATGGTCTAGCCGATTCAGGCATCACTGCATTCTCGTCAGAGAATTATAGTAATAGTAATAGGGTTGTTATGAATGTGGCATGACTTCAGCCTGGCAAGGAAGGAACTCCTGTCACTCTCCGTGAAGTGATCAAGTCAAACATTTGCTAGCTGCCCCATCAGTCATCACCCACGAGCGCTTGGCCGCGTCCGTTTCCTCGTCGTCCCGATGATTGATTTCAACGGTGTAACGTAAACGGAATTCAGAGGTAAATTGGGGGATCGGCAAGCTGCAACATAACTACAAGCTGGCCTCCAGTGCAGTACGAGCGGTACTAAGTACTAACCGCGAAGCTTCGTAAGTCGATCGTAACCAACCACGGGTGCGTGTATGCACGTATTCCCTCTGTAAACTAATATAAAAGCATTTAGATCACTAAAATAGTAATCTAAACACTCTTACATTAGTTTACGGAGGGAGTATCAATTATGAGCATTTTTACGGTACCCTGTACTGCTGATGAGAGAGGGAGCAGTATATTCAAATCTGGCCATTGATTTTCTAAGTGTAGGATAGACATCTTGTTTTCTACGCAACACTAGACTCAGCCGATTGATCTGTTTTGCCCCCTTCTCCCTGCCGTCGCCCGTGGCCAGCCGCCTCGACCAACGCCATGTCGGGGTGCTCAGCCATGGGAGAGCGTATGTTGACGCCTCATGGCGAGTGGAGGGAGACCTGCACCACGCTGCTGACCACCCGGTCCAAAAACAAGGTGGAGAAAAGGTAGCCAGGCTGGCGAAGGAGGAGGAGGAGGTAGTAGCCATGCTGTGAAGGGGTTGTAGCCATCCCGTGAAGGTGCTATTGCGATGCCGTGACGGCCAGAACCTTAGTGACGTCGTCGGCGGATAATGGCAACTAGAAATCAAGATGTCGCTCGTGCCGGCAGCGGCGGGAATCCTACAGAGCGGGCCGGGGCAGCCAACCGCCATGGGCCGTCGCGGGCGAGCAGCGTGCGCCTGGAGCCATTGGATGCCCAGAAGGCGTAGACGTCGGTTCGGAGGTCATGCACGGAGCAGCGGTCCACTCGCCGGAGGACGAGACGGCGGGGCTGAGGTCGGCGACGCGGCCAAGCCGGCGAGAGGCGGCGCGTGCTACCAGAGGGGAGGACGGCGGAGTAGACGGACCACAACTCCAGCGCGGGACGCCGACAGGGACCTCTGCAGACGAAGACAAGGAGGTAGCAGTGGCGAGTGAGCGCTGGAGTGACGGTGTCCCATGGGAGCAGCGGCGAGTCCTCGAACGCCTCGCGGCAGGAGGAAGAGGAAGACGAGGGAGGGACAGGGGAGAGAAGCGGGGCGATGATGGCGAGGAAAAGGGCCTAACTCGGCAGCCTCCTGATCCGCCGTAGGTCGCTAGGCGCACGCCGCGGCGGCCGGAACCTTAGTGGACTCGTATACTGGAGGACAGCAGCGACGCGGTGCAAGCCATACCGTGTGCAATTCCACTAGCAAAATTGGCGCAGTACAGATCGCTCCCCACCATTAGATTTCACAGATGAACAGCCCACATTTCTCGTAGGGTACTGGCAGGTACCCTGGTATTTTCCCAGGTACTCTATTGTTGAATAAATTTGCATGTTTTTCTCAACAAAAAATATAAAAATTATAAGACATCACCAGCTGCATCTGAAAGCTGGCAAGTACAGTACCAGCACCAGATATCATCTGCTGACAACTGATTATTAGTATTTGGTTGCTGTTGGAGATTTGGTCAGTGATCTTATCTACAAGTAGTGGTGTCAAAAACGCTCTTATATTATGGGATGGAGGGAGTAGTTGTTTAGTGCCTACAAGGTCGAACTCTCCTTGCTTAAAATATGTGTATCTGTACTGTATCGAATTCTGAGTGCAAAACTGGTGTACGAAATTGCATTACATCATCACATGCCACTCATCAGTCGTCACTAGTAGCATACCAGCAAGCGTCCCAACAACAGTATGGCAACAATGACCAAGTGAGCTGAGAACAGCATCAGTTGAAACATCAAACATAAAGAGGCTGTTTGGTTCCCGGCCATCGGTTGCCACGCCAAACGTGTGGCGAGTCCCAACCTCCTGGGCGTGTGTTTGGTTTTGTACTGACGTTTGGCTTGCCACAATCTATACGGGCTTCTGCAGCAGATTTTTTTGCCTAAGGTGCGGCGCTCGTTTTGTTCGCCACAGTTTCTGCGGCGCGCCACGGGTGTGGCCAACGCCTAACCTTAGTCATGGCAAATTAAGTCCCAAACCAAACAGGCCCAAAATTGCTTTGCCTTCCTGGTTCATCCTGCCATGCCTGCCTGATCTAACAGTTTAACAAGGCATTCAGCATGTGACATCCTCCAACTCCAATTATCATATACCAAACCATGGCATCTTCTAGCATGTACAGGATCGCGCATATAAAGATCAGCCGCATTCCTATGTTATGGTTCATACAAAAAACTACGAGAGAAGTATTACCATAGCCCAACCCTACCATCGTAGGTACCAACTAGACCGAGAGGTGGTTCTTGATGTACCTATTAACCCAGATCGTTTTGTGAGGCACACTAAGCTTGTCGAATGCCCTGGCAACGTGAGCATTCTCGCACAAATAAGCATAGTAGTGGGCAAGATGCTCCTGTTCAAACCCCGGGAGGCCCTTCATGTTAGCCCAAAGGTCGTCGGGGACATCAGTGTCTCTCCTACTGCACTTCTCTATTGCTTCTGCTAGGCGATCGAGAACACGGGTCATCGTACATAGCAGCCTGTCATCGTTTTTTACCTTGGCTTTCTTTGGTGGGGGTGGGGGAGGTAAGCTGTCAGACGAATCACCACTGTTCCCTTCATCGGTGCTTGTAAAAGACATTGCGGCCTCTTCAACACCCTTAGGAATAAGGGCATTCACCCCATTCAAGTTTTCATTTTCCATTCCATTCTCAGGCACGCCCCTAGCAAGAGACTCGTTGCTACTCCTAGCTGGCCTGGATGATGCCATGCCTTTGACAAAGATTGTCGCCATCTCACGATAGTTCTTAATTGGAGTGTTCAAGAAATCAGCATCATGATGGTGGTCCTGCCAAGTAATACACAGGAAATTGTTTAAAAAGTATATGCAGCAATGTCGTCACAGCCGGTAAACAACATAAGCTTCAATCTTACCTTAACGTGAGCCGTGTAATGCTCATGATTAAGCACAATGGTGCAAGTATTTGCATCCCAAAGAGTGCCACTTAAACTCTTGAGTATGTTAACCTTTTTCCATATTTTCTTCCATTTCCTAAGATGGTTAGAAATCTGTGCAGCATTTACTTGAACCCTGAAATGCTCACTCAAAGCTTGAGCACAACTTTTAAGATGAACTTGCTTGAAAACATGAGAGGGTCTAGTTCCACCAGCCACTAGGTTAGTCAAGAACTGAAGCACAAAGGATGACATGGCATTTGTCCAAACAAGTTGCCCACCACCACCATTAGTACCCCCCATGTTATCCGCATGCTGTTCCGAGTTCATTCCCTACAAATTAACAACACGATCTGATTAAGAAAACAAGAATTTAGTACTCCCTCTGTAAACTAATATAAGAGTGTTTAGATCACTAAAGTAGTGATCTAAACATTCTTATATTAGTTTACGGAGGGAGTAATAAACAATAATTTGCCAACCATATCATACAAATTATACAAAAGCAAAATTATACTATATGATAAAACAACATTTTACATATAGGCATTACAAACTAATGGTCATAGTGGTTTTGAGAGTCAACCGATATTTTGGCAAGGGATTGTTGAAATTTGAGCATGTCTCTATGATCATGTACTTCCTCCCTAATCCCTATGCAACCTATAGGAAAAATGTCCAGTGTTAAAGGAAACAGTATGTTGGGGAGGTGATGTTCTGCAAACATGTAAAATTTCAAGTCAAGTTCACTTGAAAGGTATGAGCAAATTCAGCAATGAATGGTTGCAAACTGTAAACATCACTATTCATGCTGAATCTGTTTTTACATGCCTCCCAAATGATTGTGAGTTCAAACTTGACATTTTACATGTGTAGAACATCATGCTCCCAACATTTTACATGTGTATAGAACTATTATATTTATACATGGTTTTTATGGAGTTTTCATCATGACTTGGTTTCCACTTTCCCCGCTACCTACACATGTGAGGTGCCCAGGTACTTCCCAGTAGAATAAAAACAGTGGCTCTTTCCTTCCTTTGTGAAAGAACACAATTGTGATGCAACTATGGCATTGTCCACTTGAGTAGTGAAGGGGAAGAATGGGATTGCATCATCAAGAATTCAAATTGACACTCAACATTTGATATCGGCGGCTATAGGAGGTTAATATCCTTTTTACAAAGCTACCCCAAACAGTCAATGCCAAGGACCTCTGGCTCTAGCTAGGTAAGTGGTGTCCCTTATAAGGGATCTACCAAATAAAAATGAGAAGCCGACTGAAGCAATTGCTAGCATGCATTCTACTTATTTTGTTGTGACAGTGGGATGCAACTCCTTGTGTGGTGAAAGCACTTTGAAGAAAACTTACATGTGATATACCCACGTCTGGTTGCATAGCTGGAGCATCGCGTTGTTGTGATAAATCCAAGTGAGACATCTGGGATAAATAAGGAGATGCTATTTTGTTGAGAAAGTATAATCATAATACAGGTTTAATTTAGTAGCAAACTGCAGCATTCAAATTTCACATAGAAAAATCAATACATCAAGGCAGGCATTATCTTCAGAGAATAAGAGTAGGTCTATGCTGTATGTATCATGATGAAGTAAGCATGACAAAGAACTCTTGTCACTGTCCATCAGGTGATCAAGTTGAATATTTGCAAGTTCCCCAATCATCAACATTTTTTCACATCATCTGTGTTTTTTGTATTTCTCTAAATGATTGACTTCTACATATAATTTGGAGATAAATTGGTGATCAGGGTCCAGATGCTAACTGCGAGACCATAGGTATCCAGCTGTAACAATTGATACTAGCTGCGAAAGTTTGTAACTACCACATTTCAGTTAGGACTACTCCATTTGTTGAATAACCTTTTAGAATTTAACCAAATATAGCTGAAACTATACAAGTACAATCAATATTATTTGGGCATGTCATCACCTTGGCCTTCTTTGGTGGTGGTAAACTGCCAGAGGGATCACCAAAGTTTCCTTCATCAGTGTTAGTAAAAGATTGTGTGGCCTCTTCACAGGTTTTGACATTCTCGATCACAACTATAGCAAGAGGGTCACTCGCTTCATTAGTTTTTCTGTTTTCCATTTCATTCTCAGTCACATTTGTAGCAAGAGGGTCACTCTCCCCATTGGTATCTTCATTTTCAAATTCATCATCAGCCACGTCTGTGGAAAGAAGCTCATTGCTACTCCTGCTAGCATATACACCTGAAACCATACCGTTACCACAGATTGTAGCCATCTCATGATAGTACTCGATCGGAGTGTTCAACAAGTCGGCATCACTATGGTGGTCCTGCCAAGTAATACACAAAATATTAGACAAACAGAAGCAACAATGACACCACCATGTGGAAACAACACACGGTGCAATCCTACCTTAACGTGACTGGCGTAATGCTCCTGATCAAGCACAATGGTGCATGTATGCTCATCCCAAAGAGCACCACTTAAGCTCTTGAGCTTGTTAACCCTTCCCCATATTCTTTTCCACTTCCGAAGGTGGTTAGAAATCTGAGCGGCAGTTACTTGAAGCTTGAAACGCTCGTTCAAAGCCTTTGCACAGCTTTTATGATGAACTTGCCTGAAACTGTTGGAGGCTCTAGTTCCACTAGTCACCAGGTTAGCCATGAACTTAAGCACAAAGGACGACATGGCAGTTGTCCAAACAGCCTGCTTGCCACTACCGTTGTTACCCGGCATGTCATCGGCATGTTGTCCCAAGTTCATTCCCTACCATAACAATTACAGATCTGATTAATAAAGCAAGAATCTGGCAACAAATTAAATCCATGCATAGCACGAATGTGAGAAATGTACGGCAAAAGGCAAGACATGCAATACATCAAGCACTTGAAATTCCTGGCTGCAAAACTGCAATTTCCATCAATGAGACCTTGCACAGATTGTTCACATAAGACTACCATTGCAGCAATTTCTAAATGACATAAAAAAGACTGCAAGACTAACTGCACATTAACTGAATAATGAAACTAAGGAATAGCAATTTCCAAAATTATGCAGAAAAAATCAGTAAACAATGGTTTTGGTTGCTCAACCGTCAGGAACGTCACGGCGAAATCGATTGGATTCGATTGCAATCGGATCAAATCGAATCCAATCCTAGTACTCACTAAGCACAAACCCTGAACTACATCTACGAGCAAAGGGGAAACAATGAAACATACCGGAGCGGTGGCCGTTGGAGTGTAGGCCGGCTGAAGAGCGAACCCTGGCGGGAACGCAGGGGCGCCCGAAGAGGATGACTCGGCTACCACCAGGGGCATCCCCGATGCGCCGGCGCTCCTACTGAAAAGGGGACCGTCGTTCATATAAGACTACCATTGCAGCAATTTCTAAATGACATTAAAAAAGAAGACTGCAAGACTAACCACACATTCACTGAATAATGAAACTTCGGAACAGCAATTTCCAAAATTACGCAAGAAAAAAAATCAGTAAACAATGGTTTTGATTGTTCAGGCGTCAGGAACGTCACGGCGAAATTAACTGTCTGCCTGCACCTGTTGCAGCAACATGTCTAAACCGCCTGCGTACACAACGCAGTATTTGTCTTTTGCCGTATTTGGGAGCGAATGAAAATGTGTGGATGGGGAACCCTGAAGCTACAACAAAGAAATATTGACTAAATACCGTCTGCACCCACAAATATGCATATAAGCGTCCATGTAATGTACTGTATATACATCAACAAATAGAGATACAATCGCGTGATTTGGTGTCCCATACCTAGGGCTGCCGGACCCCGGTCGCCGCCGGGCACCTCGCCGCGCTGATAAGGGGATACGGGGCGGGGAAGCTTGGAGGGGGGCGAGCAGCTCCGGGGCGCGTCGCCTACCGGCCGGCGGAGGGAGGTGGGTGGGGGAACGACGGGACGGGATGGGACGGGTCGCGCTCGATCCAATCCCGAATCGTTTGGTTCATCTCTCTCCAGCCGTATGCATCGCTCGGTCCAGCATCAGCATATTCCTCCGACGGATAGGACAAGACAACCCTGGGCCTCTGGGTGACCTCGGCTGTCCGTTCTTTTATGGACGGTCACGATGCGTCTTCTCCGATGCTTCGGCTCCATACAGGGCCGGCCCAGGCCCGCTGCGAGTGACCTTCTGCGATTTCCATTTGCTTCCTCCGTCTTCTCCATCCCCCCTCCCTGCTGCCGACCATCCCTGAGCACTCCCAGTCCCAGGCCATTAGCCTAGCTAGCTACCCCCTCCATGCGAGGGCGGCAATGGCGCCCGCCTCCGCCTCCTTCGCCGTCTCCCTCTCCGCCCCCGTCCGCTTAATTCCGCCCAGATGCTTCCGCGGTAGGCCGAGGTGGTCCCGCCCAATCAGGGCTTCGAGCGACACGAAGGGCGCCCCGAACGGGGAGCGGAGGATCGGGGCTCTGGAGAGGAGGGTGGGGGATTTGAGGGCGCTTGTCGCCTCGGTGCCTCCTGCTGTTGTCTCGGTAACACGGCCCGTCTCTTTATTTCTGCACATTTGGACTGTGAGGGTTGGCCACTGTCAGTTCTGAACCGTGGTTGCTTGTTAGATTTAGCGCTTGTTGTGCATAAAATGTAGTTAGCCTAGTAAGCAAAATGTGGCAGATGTAAAGAAGATAGGTTTGCGTAGGTGACATTTAGTTCACTGCTCATGAGCAATCCCCAATGCGTCAGGGATTCAGGGGAACTGGTTAAGCTTTGACCCCCAGGAGTCACATGGCTTTTGACATTTTATGCATTTTGGGCAGCTTGAGATATTCTATATGGCCTTTTTCTTTTTCTTTACAGCATAATAAGACCTAAATTATCTCTTCGCCAGTACCCAATACTTTACCATGTTATAGTCATGTGATCATGTCGTATGCTGTTCCATCTTTACATAACAAATACTCTCTTGTTTATCTTTTCATGCAGATCAGGAAAAACATTGGACTAAATTCCATTGCCGGTTTCGGTTTCGGCATTGCATTTTTGGCTGCTCTCGCAAGACAGGTCATCATAAGAACTCAACAGCAAGATAGTAGTGGTTCTGTTTCTGATCTAGTAAGGCGCGGGCATCTAAAATCTGGGCAACGTGGGATGTATGTCTTGCTATCTTGTCAAACTTCAGTTTGGATTCCCTTCTGCACTATCCGCCATAGTTTTTCATATGACGATTTGGGCTTTAGAGGTTTACTCATATGTGTATTTAGGAAGACAGTACAGAAATCTATTTTTCTTGGAATATGTGGTTTGACTACATCTTTTATTGCTCTAAATTATAATGAATTCATACTCAAATCCACTTTTGATGTTATGCTTTGGAATTGGTTGTTTTTCTAAGAACATTTTATTGTATTCTGAATCATGTTTACAAAACATTCAGAACTAATATAACTTGTTCATGTGAAACTATAGGGGGTGAATTCTTCTCTGAGGAAGAACTGTCATCTTTTTCATGTGTCTAGTAACTAGCTTTATGCCATTGTAAATCCATGTCTCACTCTTGTTGGCTGCTATGGAAATTGTAGTATTACTTTATGTGACTAGTGGTAGTGATCATGGTCAATAAAACTTTAGGGATAGACAAAAATTGTTATGCTGGTTTCCAAGCCTACTTTTAAGTTTTAACCCATCTTTTTCTTTTCTTTTTTTGTGAAAACTCTTCTACTGTAATTGTCTAGTATTCTCTTGAAATCGTGCAATAATTTTGACTAAGGCAACTCCTGCAGTGCAAAGCCACGTGTGTACAATGATCCTTTCAATAATTCATTAGTCAAGATCGATGAAGATACTTCTACTGCTCAGATGTTTGGCAAGGAGTACCGCATGGCTCCTGTCCGGCTTACAAATGAACAACAGGCAATGCATCAGAAAAGGAGATCACATGCATATCAGTGGAAAAGGCCCACTGTGTTTCTTAAAGAAGGTGATCCCCTGCCACCAGATGTCGATCCAGAGACAGTTAGATGGATTCCAGTAAACCACCCATTTGCTGCTGGTTCGGTTGAAGTAGATGAGGAGACTGCCAAAAGGAATGTTTACCAAAAGGATGGCGTCCCGTCCCGTGTAAAAGCCGAACATGAAGCTTTGCGGGCAAGGCTAGAGGCTTCAAATGATGTGAGTGTTTGCAATTAACTTGGTATCTTAACTTGCCCGATGCCACAATCCAGAAAAAAGTATGCTACTATTTCAAATTAATATATTGTTTGCAGATCTCTCTGCAGGCAGGATAAATGAGTTGTTTTAGAAGTTTGAAGCTCAATCTGATAACTGAACTAGCAATAGTTTGATTTGTTTTACCATGCTGTCTGGAAAAACTCTCCCTGATCTCTACCATGTTTCGCAGGTAACACCATTCTCTAACGGTCCAAGGGGTATGCAACATAGTGCAAGATCATCGAAGTTATCAGACGAGCCATCTGGGAATCTGCAACAGTCTAAACCTGACATGGTGAATGACCAAAATGGCCAACCAATGTTAGAGCCTGAGCCTGAGCCCAAGAGCTCTGACAACGGTTCACTATCAAAAAGCTTGGAAGGACAGTAACGGTGTGAATTGTATAAACCCTTCGGCACTTTGTTTTGTTATGTAGTGTTGTCAGGTTTTAGCTGTAGATAGAGGAGTTTTGGAACAACAGATTTACGTACTGAACACATGATATGGAGCAGTGTTATTGTTATGTGCTGTTGTATATCTGATATTTTTTTTGCCCGAAGATCTCCAGATGCACGATCTCATTTTCAGCCTCTTAGAACCATGTGATAATTTGGTAGGATGCTCTCATTTATCACTCATATTTTTGCGCAATTCAACAGTAACGTAACATTTGATAAGCTACATATACAACAGCTAGTTGATTCAAGAATCAAGAGAGATAAAATTCTTAATGATACAGCACAAACCCTATAACGGTAGAAAGTATGAATAACTCTACAGAAGGTAAATGACTAAATATCTGGAAGGACTATGAGTACAAAATTTGTGTTGGTGGGAAATGGCATCAGGATTTTATTAAAAAAATGCCTAGGTGGCATGATGCCGATCTCCCTATACAAATAGGCTTGCCATAACCTGTAATCCTGTGTGAAGATAAGAAATTTGGCTTAGACAGCATGGAAGCCCTCGTCGTCACTATCACCAAACATGGTTGCCATTTTCATGGCTATCTTGGCAGCCATCTCCCTCCTTTGGAAGTCAGGAACGAGCCTTAGGTTGGAGCGCATGTTGCCAATCTCTGACATTAGTCGCTCCAGATCATCTACGCCATAATGATCATCCTCAAACAGTGCATTGACCTCTGGGGTGTCAGTTCGCTGGTCCTCAGAAGTATCTGCTCCAGTGTTATCCACATGATTACTACTATCTTCAGTTGCGTGACTCTGAGTTACAGGATTTTCTTCAGCAGGTTCTGTAGATCTGTCATTTGGAAGAGGGTTGGGCGCCGAAGAACTAGCATTGCCGTTCACAACTTGCTGTGTGTTGTCCTGCATAGATTTAGCTTCATCCAATCCTTCCAAGCTTCTTGATGTACTCGATTCACCGATGAATTCCCATTGCTCATCAGATGCATGGGATAGGACCTCGTAGTCAAATTCATAAGTCAATTCATCATCTGTAGATTCTGTCAGTAGAAAACAGAATACTTAAGGCCAAATACAGGGTTCTAAATTCAATAATGGAACTGTGGAGGGCAAGATATTCTAATTATCAAAATCGCTCCAGCTTTGCACATTATATGGTTGTTTGTTAGAGCAAGCATGACTCATCACAAAACCATGGCGCTAATTTAACAATTTATGGTTAAACGTGTAATTATATTGTTTTCTTATATAACTCACCATCTTTTTCGACCAAGGATGGAGTAGTAATTTTATTTCCAGATTTCAGAATCATTCCAGGCCACATGTGTGCAGAAAGGGCTCCAAAGAGTCGCTCTAGGCCTTGGCTATCACCATCCACTGATAGGCCTGTTGGTAATTATAAACAGACGACAGTTCAGAATTGAAAGAGCATCCAAAAGATCTATTTAAATACAAGCAATATTCAACTTTGGATAGAAATTAGGTTCCTTTTATTAGACTCCATCAAACAATTATAATAAAATTTCATAATTCACACACAATAAAAACAGCCACCGATGCCATGCATGTGGATCAACCATTTAACTTGTTAGCCTTTTGGTGTATGGCATTTAATACTAAGCGGTAATACGGTATAAAACAATATGTACTTGAATTGCCTTTTCAATTTTGCAGGTTCAGACATAAATTACCATGAAAAATACCAAATGCAATTTGATCAA